ATAACTGTTTTAATGTACGGCTTACGTTATAAATCGTACGTTTCGAACGAACATAATCCGATTGAACGTAACTAGCACTGAAGCGTACGAAATAATGCCGAATGAATGAATTTTGGTGTGGGTGTTTGTATTGGTGTAATTTTATTTACAATATGAAATATATATATTAGATAGAATTTAAAATAAAATATTTTTTTATTTAAATAAACTTAATTTATTATATATATATAAAACCTAATAGTTAGCTAGTAGAGAATAGGTACCATATGGTATGAAACTCATTACTTGTACCAAGTTTTATTGTGCAATAAAGAATAAATAAATAGATAAAAAATATGATAAAATTTGACATTTGTATGTAATTAAAATAAAATTGTATTATTATTATTTCGCGGTGTGGTCCCAGCGTAGAATGGGCAAAGAATTTCTCTCCCGTGGGCATCGTAATACGCAACTAAGAGAACTTAAGTGTCAAGGGATATGGGTAATAGCGTTTCTCTTAAAACATCGCCAAAGCCTGACTGCGATTGCCAAGTTTAGCAAGTGTGGCAACTACTGGCAAACCCCTCAATAGGGAGGCCTATGTTCAGCAGTGGACAGCTAAAGACTGATATGATAATGATTGTTTACTGTAAAAAATTACAATGTCTTGCAGTCGTATGATTATATTTACTAATAAGGTCTTTAGTTTTTTTTTAGAAAAGGCAATTTTTTCTTTCCCTAGAGTGTCGTAAGAGACAACTAAGGGAGAGCGAGGAATGAACAGCAGCGTCCCTCTTAAAACATCTCCAAAGCCTAACTGCAGTTGCCAATCGGCTTGGCAAACATGGCAACTACTTGCACCCCCCCCCCCAGGAGAAGGGTTATGTTCAGCAACGAACAGTTACGGGCTGATATGGTGATGATAATGAGATTGCTTGGCGATAAGGCCGCCTTATGTATCACTTCTCATTAATATTTACTGTATTTGTTATTTCTCTTTTTACTTGGTGCAATAAAGTGTAAATAAATAAATAAATAATGATAGTGACTTTTCATACTACATATGCTCGTTCCTTACTAATTTATTAAGTCTAAACTATATAATAATTATAATAATAAATAATAGAAGAAATCGCTCTTAACGATAAGGCCACCCATTGTTTTCTCAGCAACTTTTGGGGGGTATTATGGGCGAAACAGTATACTCTGTTATGTCCACGGTGCTGCTCATGTCTATAGGCGACGGTTACCACTTTCCATCAGGTGCGCCGTCAGCTTATTTGCCATTCTAAGTTGCATGAAAAAATTCCTTGCAATACTTTGTATTTATAATAAGTTTACTATTGTAATCTTATGAAGGAATAAACAGTAATCATCAAATCAATAATGATCAATTAACCAATAAAGAGTCAATCTATCTATCTGTCTATCTATCTATTTAAATAAAACACAATTAATACAATCGAATAAGGATCACTCTATTTTTTTCTCGTATCAGTTAATTTTATCATCGCAGATTACCTGAGACCGCCCATTAATCTATGTCGGCTAAAAAAAAATTAACCCAACCCTCAAAACAATCATTAAGCCCAAAGCGCTGTACCTCAACCCTTTCGCCGGTGGGGTCTGACGCACCCCATTTATCATTAAGACACTGACACGTAATTAACAATTGAAATGTCTAAAACCCTGCGTCTCGGGTCAGTGAGACCAAAAGATTATCTCGCAAGGTGGTTTTCGGGTCGGACCTCTGCTGTACAATGTGAGGGTTGTAAAATAAAAAGTACCTACAATTAGTGTTGGGACGAGTCGAGCTAACTCGAGTACTGACTCGAATATCTAATAGTTATTCGTATTCAAATAAAAGTACAGACGAATCTATCGATAGAATCGTTATTGCTAGCGAATCCATGATATTAGAATGAGATGACGATACGCGCTGTCTTATTCTTTCTCATATCGTCACAGTCGTAGAATACTGACGGATCTTTATATGTAATATTCGTCAGATCCGTCAGTATTCTACGACTATGACGATATGGGCGCTGATCGAAATGATATTATCAATAGATTCATTTCTACCTTGTCTAAGAGGGCGATTTCTCGAGTACTCAATATACAAAATTCGGGTATTCGATATTCGAGTACAAGTTTAGGATATTTTTTGGCAATTGAGCTAGTCGCGTGTTTATGACGCCCACGGGAAAGGTAGCGGTCTATTCTATGACGCGACCACATGGCAACATACATACTCTATGTTACTTGCTAATAATGTAGCTTTATATGGGTGAAATATGGTTTCATATGCTTTAAAATCAGTCAAATAATTTTTGAGTTTATTCATTACAAATAAATATTTCTCTTTATAATATTAGAAGGTATAGAATTACGAGTATAGACTAATTTATCTTTCAATCTATTTATTCGTGTAAAGCCGGATCGAACTGCTAGTTATCAAATGAGTAGGTAATTTTTAAAAGACCGAACATTCATCTTCGTTAAAATAAAGATTCGGAAATCAATACAAAAATTACTCGAGTCAGAATTCGATTATTTTTAAACGAGTGAAATACTCGAATATCAGTAAAAGCCGACTCGGTATACAACTACTTAGAATGCGAGGGATCTGACACTCCCTTATCGTCGGTGACGGTATGTCTTTAACTATTAAAATTGTGTTTTAGGCATTCCAATTCCTTGGTTAAGACATGTGCCTCCAGGTGTCTGGTTTCTCAAGGTGATTGTTCGCACTTATTTTTGCTAGTCCCAACCCGTAGCTTTGCTCGCTTTAATCGGGATACAGTCAACTATTTATTAATCAACTATGTATTATGTATTAATCAACTATGTATTATGTTTATGTATTAATCAACTATGTATTATGTTTATGTATCAATCAATCTTGGTCTTCTTGACTCGGTTCAAAGATGGGCTATGAGAATTGTTAACTATACCAAGCTCACAGACGGTATCGAGCTTTTAAATCTAAGGCCTCCTTTGACTCCCTTTGTATCTTTTATCGTTTGTATAACGGATTTTGTTCTGAGGAATTGTTTAAAATGATGCCCACAGCCAGCTTTTATCTTCACGCCGCGCACCATCGACAGAGAATTCATCCTCACACATTAGAACCTAAATGGTCAAGTACAGTGTTATTTCAAAGAAATTTTCTCCCGCGAATACTCAGGCTGTGAAAAGAGCGCCCTGTCGAGGTTTCCCCTGAAGACTACAGTATCTATGGGATTCTTCAAAGTATATTAAAGTTTCTTCAGGGTCGGCAACGCGAACGTCACTCCTAGTGTCGCAGGCGTTCATAGAATACAGTGACCGTTTACCATCAGACGGGCTGGATGCCTATTTCGTCATAGTCGTAGAATACTGACGGATCTGACAAAGATTACATATAAAGATCCGTCAGTATTCTACGACTATGACGATTTGACACCTTTGTGGTAAAATTAGTCGACCTTTCTCTATCTAATTACACGTAAATGAAATCGGTAATTATTACATTGAAATATTAAGTGTATTTTACAAATTGTTACATTTATAAGACTGGCTGTAGCCTATAATCGAAACACACATTTATTACACGAGCAGCCTGTGGGTTGACTATACACGGCGGGCATACAGCGCTCTGCGTGTTCAATACAATAATGTTTTCAGGGTGTTGTTACGGTTGCCACGTTTTTGTAGTGCATCCACAATGTTTGCAGCGGCATGGACGGATGACTTCTATGCCATCAGACGCAAACGGATCGCATCTCTTTTATACCGACTGCGCGGTAGCAGTAACAGCATTCTGTGGGCATTGTGTAATAAATACGATAGCCCGATCCTCTCATTGTGGGTCAAAATTATTATAGGGGCAATAAAATGAATTTTGTATTTTTTTTTCTAATATAGTTTAAGTCAATTGTTACTAATAAAAATGGATCTTTGTAATCTATAAATAAAGAATTATTATTATTATTATTAATGTACAGTACATAGACCTACGAGTATTTAGACATTCAAACTGATAATGAATGACATATTTAGAATGTCAGTCATAACTACGTATTGACATATTTGGGTAAATCGAGATATGACGTCACACATTTGTACTTTTTTTATTTCAATGAAAATTAATGGAATGGTAATTTCACCTGCGCTAACAGTATACGCTGACGGGACACCAATGAGGGATGATAGATAAGAATGAAAAGGTAGGTCAGTTAGCCCCTCGTGATGAATACACCGGGAATTCAGCACGATGGCTTCCATGGGGGACCACGTGGAGGTCGACTTGATAGGGTATACCCCCTACACATTTGTACTATCATCCGTATTCGTGCTCTAGATTAACGTTATTGTGACGTACATAATCGACGAATATTGTACCCAACTTAAATGACTAAAGAACGTCCTGTAAATGTTACAAATTAGAGAAACCAATTCCATTAACTACGGATTTTTTTATACAACTTAGAATGGCAAACAAGCTGACGGCCCACCTGATGGAAAGTTGGAACTGACGCCTATAGACATGAGCAGTACCGTGGACATAACAGAGTATACTGTTTCGCCCATGATACCCCCCATGCGTTGCCATTCCTGAGGACTCAGGTGTTATTCCTCTGTACCTAGTAAACTCACGCCATATCCCACCCTTCAAACCGAAACACAGCCATGCAAACACAACTGCTTCACGGTTGAAACACGAATGGGACAGAGGCACTCAAGCAATCGACTTTTGTACAAAGTCTCCCTCTGGTATATTTCTTATTATATCGGATTTAGGAATTATTTCTACTATCTACAAAGGTGTTACAATACATTGAGAATGAACTATCCAATTTTGCATCCACACGATGCAGTCGAATTGCCAATATCGAAATACGCAAATTAATTGCTCATCTGTCGAACACAGATCCCAATAAATTATCGATTATTCACAATAATTAGTTAAATGTACTTCTAACTTGCAAACTTGTATGAATAAATAATAAATCGTCATCATTATTGTTTTTTTACAGGCTACAAGATGTCGCTAGCAGTGTGCCGCGACCGACTAACAGGCTCAGATGCTCCCGAACAGCTGTGCGACGCGTCCAGTAAACCACAGGCCTCTGTGGTTAGATGTAACACACATCCGTGTCCTTTTAAGTTAGTATTATCATACTATTATATTATCATACTATATTATGTATTTAAAAAACGAACAGTTTCGTGCCTCCAGTCAAACTGTTTAAATTACTCTTCTCCGTCCAGAGGTTGTCTGGCAGAGATCGTTCTTAGCGATAACGCCGCCCATTGTTTTCTCAGTGTGATATTTTCTTGTATTTGTTCGTAATTATAACATCTGAAAGAGATCTCTTCCAGCCAACCCAGTGTAGTTAGAGAGAAAATAATTATTAGCTAATTAATAATAATTAATTCATTATAATTGAATTAAGTACCTCGTTCTTTTTAAAATCGGTTAAAAACTAATAAATACACGATGAATGATTTTGAAGAATGAACAAATAGTTCTAGAGGCTACAAATTGTTGGCACTTAGTGGGAATTTTGAATTTATATTCATAATTCATGTTTATAAGTAGCAAAACCGCCATTTTGGAAAGGCCTATGTTCAACAGTGGACAATGGACAGCTGACATGACGATGATGATTTATAAGTTAAAACACACTTGTATTTCTTCACAAATTTTTATTTAATTAATATTTTATAAACTTACATTATATCGACAAAACTGCTTGGTTTTTTTTATGCAACTTAGAATGGCAAACAAGCCAAAGGCCCACCTCATGAAAAGTGGTAACTGTCGCCTATAGACATGAGCAGTACTATGGATATAACGCATGTGTTGTGGGTGATTATGGGCGGCGGTAGTCACTTACCATCAGGTGAGCCGCATGCTCGTTTGCCCCCTGTGTTTAAAAAAAAAAACAGTATACTGTTTCGCCCATAATACCGCCCATGCGTTGCCATTCCTGAGAACTCAAGTGTTATTCCTCTGTACCCTGTAAATTCACTGCCATGTCCCACCCTTCAAACCGAAACACAGCCATGCAAACACAACTGCTTCACAGTTAAAACACGAATGGGACAGCGGTGCTTAAGTAAACGACTTTTGTACAAAGTCTCCCATATAGTTGTTAGTGAAAAGGGCCAAATTAAAAGTACCCATAACTGGCGAGCATGTATGAATAGATTGATGAATGTGTAGGATAATAGGTGTCTTTGAATCAAAGCATTTGACGTCCCATATTTCTGTCTAATAAATATATCCCATATTATGTATATAATATTATTTTTGTACAGGTGGTACGTCGGCGAGTGGTCGACATGCAGCGTGACATGTGGGGGTGGGGTGCGCACGCGCCGCGTTCTCTGCGCTCGATCTGCTAACGTCACTAGGGCCGACACATATGAACCTGGTAATCCTTTATAATATTATAAACGTAAAATTGAGCTTGTTTGTTTCTTTATCACCTTATATCTCCTTAACGGCTTAACCAATCACTATGGTGTAAAGTATGCATGTACTACATGTGGCGAAGAAGGGTATAAGAGTATTAGTAGAGTATGGGGTAGGCTTTTTATCCCGGACACGCGGAAGAAGTGGCGGGTAAATGCTAGTGTTTAAATAAATGCTACACTAAAACTCAGAAATCACAAATCATACACACCTAACCCGAGGCCGTTTAGAAAAGTTTTTATCCTAAATTACTCCTACCGAGAATCGAACCCGAAACCTCAATACGAAAAGCAGTGTGGTTACACTACGCCAGCAAATCGTCATCTTAATATTTATCTCTATATATGTTTATCAAAAATGTTACTTTTGAAATCAGAATAATTTAGAATTTTCTTCCAAAAAACCGACTTCAATTATGACAAAAACATTTATTTTGATTTAAAAACTAAAGTACTGAACTGATTTTGGTAAAATTCTTATAGGCCTGTATGATGAATTTGCCTAGAATTCCACACGATGGTTTCCAGGGAGGACCATGTGAAGGTCAACCTGCAAGGATATATTGCGAACAATGGGACTGGTAATCCGCATTACCATCAATCCTGATCATAAACAAGATCATGCTGTCACTGTATTCCCTCAGAATAGTGTGGTCAGATCAGAAAAGTTTAAAACAATTATACAATAGTAGGATTTTAAAATAGAAATACACTGACAATAGAAAGATGGAACGCTGCAGAAACTTTTGAATTTAATATAACGTACTTTTCGTTCTAACTTTGAAAGAACTTATCTGGGAAATGTATTCTTGTCGTATTCCGAACAAAGCTAGACTTAAACCAGCTACTTATACAAAGGAATATTAATGTAACAACGTACAATTGTATCATATCTTAAGGACTGAAACGTTTTCTATCCAGCAATCTATATCATCATCTCCCTGCCCTTATCCCAATTATTATTTGGGGTCGGCGTAATATGTTTTTCCATCCATATTTTTTTTAATGGTTGAAAATGGAACGGTAACCCCACCTGCGCTAACGGGATACGCTGGCGGAGCACCAGTGAAGGGTGATAGATGAGAATGAAAACAGACCAGTTAGCCCATCATGATAAATTCATCAGGAATTAACCATGATAGTTTCCAGGGGGAACCGCGAGGAGGTCGACCTGGTTGGGTATATTGCTAGCAATCGAATTCTCAGTCTCCATTACTAACAATCCCTTTTCCCCCCTTTCCATCCATATTACAAAAGATTTGGACTATAGTTTGCGACCGGCCGCCTGCCTGACGTCAACCCTCTTTGGGAATATATTTGTTGGTGGTTTCCGCCACCTACAGTATGAAGGAAATGATTTAGGAAAAAAGGAAGGGAACGTTGGAAATGGGTAAAGTAAATTGGTAAATAAGGAGAATAAAGGTCTTATGTGGGAAAAGGAGGAATACTGCAGTTATGGAAAGAACTGGGACACTGTAGCGGCTCGGGATGTCGGGGTCGCATACCCGTATGCCATATCCAGCAAAGTATATAGTATCCTTAATTTAAGCCGAGACTTCGCTTCTCTTTGCATCTTCTACCATCTGTATAACGGATCATGTCCTGTAGAACTCTTTTATATGATGTCTATAGCCACCTTTCACTATCACACCGCTCGTCATCGGCAGGGAATCCATCCTCATACCCTAGAACCAGAATGGTCAAGCACAGTGCAATTTCAGAGAAGCTTTCTCCTACGAACACTTAGGTTGGGAAATGACCTTCCTGTCGAGGCTTTCTGTAGAGACTACAGCCTGAAGTTCTTCAAAAAGGACATATTGAGGTGTCTTAAAGATCAGCAACGCGTGCGTAACATTTTTGATGTTACTAGCGGTCATAGTATAATAGTACAAAAAAAAAAAATACCAGAAGGAGATCTTGTTGCAAAGTCATCCACTTGGGTGTCTTTCTCCCATTCGTGTTTCTTGTGTGAAACAGTTGCACCTGCACTGCTATGTTGGTGGAATAGAGCAGTAAATTTTTAAGGTATGGAAGCATAACCCCCTCATCGTCAGGCATGGCCATGTATAAGGAATACCATGGATGAATACCATACCATACAAAATAAAAAAAAAAATAAAAAAAAAAAATTCACTGTGAAGTCTGTGATATTATAGTGCTGTTCCTGTCTATAGGCGATGGTTACCACTTTCTATCAAACGTACCGTCAGCTTATTTGCCATTATCAGTGGCATAGAAAAAAGGTAGCAAAAATCTTTACCCAGTGTTATTAATATTGTATAATTTCACCAACAGGATCCAGTTCGGAGCCCGGCTGCGTGTCCCCAGCACCCAGATCCACCCAGCCGTGTAACACACAGGAGTGCCCCAGCTGGATAGCCGGCCATTGGTCGGGGGTAAGTCATATTAAGAATATATCAAATAATATGTATACCAAATATCCTTAATGTATGTATATGTTATTAAATGTATTTTTTTTTAATGTATTTATTGGAACCATAAAAAAAAATACAATTGTAGGGTAGTGTACGATAACAGCCACATTAGTTAAAAATAACTGTGTCGTGGCTAATTTTGATTAAAAATTATATAAATAAGTGAGAGGTCATAAGTTTCTTGTGGAGTAATATCGGTACCGTGTTTTTAGATAGATAATTTCTTTGCAGTACTTACAGCACACGAATAACAATAGACATGGATAGACATACACAATCATTGGCCGTTACACAGGTTACACTCCGGGTTTGTTGTACGCGTCCGTGTAGCCTAACTTCAGGCTGTAGCTGAAAATCAGTGCTTTGTTTTTAAGCAAAACCATCACTGAGCTGTAGCCTATTTGGGTCACTGCGACACACATGGCGAAAACATATTTTAATATTTTATCTTTTGTTGTATATTTTGAAAAGTGTTAATGATTTGACTGTATAAACTCATTTGTAAATTTTACGTGTGTCATAAATGGCTCAAATAAAAAATTTATCTATCTATCTATTTATCACAATAAAAAAGGATAAAAGAATACATATACAAAAAATAAAAAAAAAATGCAGAAAAGAAGAAACAATTTCTCCCTTCATGAGTGCGCCACAATAACACAAAATGGTCACAACTCAAAAGAGCTAAACGCTGATATTCTGTTGTGGCCAAAATCTAACCGCAAAATTCCTTAGAAAAAAAAGGAATATTATTATTATACTATATATTCACCAGACTTTGTACAAAAGTTGTTTGCTTGGGTACTTCTATTCCATTCGTGTTTCAACCGTGAAGCAGTTGTGTTTGCATGGCTGTGTTTCGGTTTGAAGGGTGGGATATGGCAGTGAATTCACAGGGTACAGAGGAATAACCCCTGAGTCTTCAAGAATGGTAACACATAAGAGCTATCTTGGCCGAAACAGCACTGTACAACTGTACAACAGTACTGCTCATATCTATAAGCGACGGTTACTACTTTCCATCAAGTGGGGCGTCGGCTTGTTGCCATTCTAAGTTGTATAAAAACAAATATATAAGTTATAATATTAGTCTTTTTGAATTGATAGTAATGGACTGGCTTTTGACCCCCCAGTGCCAATACCGGAGAAAGTTAGATACCTAAAAAATAGTGATCACAGATTTATATTTCAGTGTTTAATTTATTTCCATCCATTTATTTGTATATTTATTTTTTATAATAAAATAATTCATAAAACATTTCCAAAATATACATTGTATAATCCTGAACAATAATTTTGTCGTGATCCTTAAGAAAAATCGGATTTTAGACCTTCAATAATATTTTTACTCAAGTTTGACATATTTATGATTAGTATCACACTGTGAAATGTCCAAAATATAAACTGTACAAACGAAATCAAGTAACAACGACTGGAAACGTTGAAAATTGCCAACGGACGCCCAGCGGCGCGTATACTTCATTCACTCCGTTCCAAAATATAGCCACATAAAACTTTATAGACAATGTAAAAGTATTGAAAATGCGCAACAATGTTGGTGTAATTTACCGGTGTGTTTTAACATTGTTATAGAATTTGAGAGACGTTTAAACGGGTACATATTAGATCCATAAAAATGCTAGTTTCATCCTTAACACATGCACATCCAGTAGCGGATTTACCAGCAGGCCGAGTAGGCTGGAGCCTACAGCGGCAGATTTTAGGATCGCAAGTTTGCTGTGTAGTCCCCACAGAATTGACACCCCTTTCTCTCCCGTGGGTCTCGTGAGAGGCGACTAAGGGAACTTAATGGTCGAGAGATCAGTAGCCACTGTTAGGCTTTTGTGATGTTTTGAAAGGAACGTTGCTACTGATCCCTCGACCATTAAGTTCCCTTAATCGCCTCTCAAAACACCACAAAAGCCTAACTGTGACTGTTAACCCGCCTGCTAAGTGTGATAATTACTGGCGAAACCTACCAATGACAAAAACCAGAAAAACTAGATCTCAAGCCAACAACTGGCCTCCAGTACTTGGCTCGAGATCGTTCCTTATGGTGTTCTGTGGGGGAGGTCTGTGTTTAGTAGTCATAAAGTTTGGAAGCAATTTTTTTATATCATAAAGTTAATATTTGATTTTTTTTATGGGTGAAAATGGTATGGTAACCCCGCCTGCGCTAACGGGATACGCTGGCGGAGCACCAGTGAAGAGTGATAGATGAGAATGAAAATAGGCCAGTTAGCCCATCATGATGAATTCATCAGGAATTAACCATGATAGTTTCCAGGGAGAACCGCGAGGAGGTCGACCTGGTTGGGTATATTGCTAGCAATGGGTTTCTCAGTCTCCATTACTAACAATCCCTTTCCCCCCGTTAATATTTAATTGACAAATAATTGTAATTAATATAATTGTGAACTAGAGTATCGAATTATAGAGGTCGACAGGAGCAACAAAATTTGAATAGCCTACTATTGGTAAATGTGTAAATCTGTCTCAGAGCCCACCTAAAAACTCCTTACTCCTTTATTACTAATATTAAACCTAATTGTAACAGTGAGTTTATTTACTACCTTAGCGTCGTAACCAGTCACTATGAAATTTACAAGTAGTATGCAAGTGCGATGGAGAAAGACATATCGGCTATATACTTTTTATTGTGTTTAGTAAACATATCGTTTTTTATGTATACTTGAATTTATCAGAGGGACACTTTGTACAGAAGTCGATTGCTTGGGTACCTCTGTCCCATTCGTCTTTCTACCGTGAAGCAGTTGTGTCTGCATGGCTGTGTTTCGGTTTGAAGGGTGGGATATGATGTGAATTTACAGAGTACAGAGGAATAACATCCGAGTCCTCAGGAATGGCAACACATGGGGGATATCATAGGCGAAACAGTATACTCTGTTATGTCCATGGTACTGCTCATGTCTATAGATGACGGTTACCACTTACCATCAGGTGGGCCGTCAGCTTGTTTGCCATTCTAAGTTGCATAATGTAAATTAATTATTATTATAACTTTTTTTTATTCTACAAAATATGTTTTTTTTTCTAGAAAGTATGTTTTCAACATTTAACTTTACAATCATTTAAACTTATACATTATTTTAAATAACAAATGAATTTATTTTTATTTTGCTTCGCAGTAATTATTTAAAAAATTATAATAAAATAATTAAAAAATTATATTATCAGCATTATGTTCAAAAAGACATAAAGACATGACATATAGCTGAGTGGCATCATTTTAATGCTTTTTTTTCATTTATTTTTATTTGTATTTGTTAAGAGTTGAGTTCAACACAAAATAAATATTTCTTTCTTTTTTCTTTTCTTTCTTGCATTCTTTCTTTCTTCTCTCCATCTTTACTTTCTCGCTCCCTTTCTCTCTTTCATTATATCCATTTTTTTTTCAATCGTATGTTACCAATACGGGAGCGAACTCTATCAATAGCAAATAAAATTGTGACAGAATCGGCGACGCAATCGCGTAGCGAAAAAAATCAGACTACTTGAGAGACTCCTTTTGAAAGTCATTTAAAATCACTTTTACGTCAGTATAAACCGGTTACAATCTGAGATCCGGTATAAATTAAATTATTTATAATCTCGGTCGCTCGTAAACAGAAATAAGTCGCGTAGCGGGGAAGCGCTGTAAATATTATGTAAATGAAAATATTAATTTCGTGCTTATGTTTTTGGAGTACCGAAACCTAACGACCGCCATGGATGCTTATATTTTTATAATCATATTATTTAAACTGCCATTCTCTTTTTTTTATATATATATATATATATATATATATATATATATATATATATATATATATATATATATTTATTATATATATATATATATTTATTAACCGACCAAAATAAATGAAGTAGATTCTCAATTCGTTGTACTATTTTTCATAGGTGTGACCTCAGAACATTATTTTGTAACTCGGTTTAGACAATACCTACCTGCCGTGTAGGTCCCGGCATAGAATGATAGAATGGACCACCCCTTCCTTTCTCATAAGTGTCGCAAGAGGCGACTAAGGGAGCTTATGGTGGAGGGATGGGAAGCTCTTAAAACACCTCTAAAAGCCTACCTGCGGTTGCCAAGCATGGCAACTACTGGCAAAACTCCTCTTACAGGGAAGACTTATTTTCAGCAGTGGACAGTTAACGGTTGAAATAATAATAATTAGACAATAATATATTCATATTAATTCCATTAAAATTTTATCCAAATAGTAATTGATTTTTCCTCAATAGAAGTCTGTCTTTTTGTAAAAGAAAATCTACATACATATTTTCTCTTTACTAATGAAAAATACCAACCTCGCCTCGTCTTGAATTCTAATATGCTCGGTGAATGGGCACATATTACATGTGACGATTAATAACTCCAGTTACCTTAATCAAATTAATTGATCCGGCTCAAAGGACCAATTTGTTTAGTTTAGTAAGGGCTTACTAGTAAAAGATGATGATTTAATAGTTAAACAATGGACTGTAAAACTGTTATAATTCTCGTTGTAGTTAATTGAATTTGTCTAAAACAATGTAAAATAAAAATACGCGTAAGGTAACACCCACTGAGAAGAAAGTTATGGCCCATTCTATACTGAGACCACACGCCACTTGCTAAACTTGAGTAAAGATGTTATACTTCCATACTCTGTAACTTCACTACTTATTCTCATCCTGCAAACCAATGTGCAGACATAGCTGTTTGAATATCTATGTAAACGATTTTTGTATTAATTCTACTTCTAGTATTTTATATTTATTTCACTACTTTTTAAGTTAATAGTACATTACTGCAGCGACCAGCAACTGAGGCATTGATGGACGAACGTGCAAATCCATCAATGCTTAGTTGTGACCAAGGCCTGTATAGTACTTTTCTCAAACAATGCGCGGAAATCAAAAATGCAATTTTAGTTTTTAAGTTCAATGACGAATAA